AAAAATAAAAAAATAAAGATGTTGTGTCCACCGAAAACTAAAAAATAAATATTAAAAAATTCTCTCTTAAAAATACTTTATTTATTTATTTTTATATGATGCTGAGGATCGAACCCAGGGCCCTGCACATGCTAGACGAGCGCTTTACCACTGAGCCACAACCCCAGCCCCTTCCATGGTAATTCTATGCTTAATTTTTTGAGCAACTGCTAAATTATTTTCTATAGTGGCAGAACCATTTTACATTTGTACCAGTAGTATATGAGGTTTCCAATTTCCACTTCAGGGATTTTGTTCTTGTGCCATTTTTCTAGGCAGTACTTCTGATACTACTTCCTCATTTCCTTCAAATTTACTCAAATGTCTTCTCAAGGAGGTCTGCCTTAATGGCAACCACTCACCCAACCCTCAACCCATATATATATATATATATATATATATATATACACACACACACACACTATTGTTCCCTACTTAATTTTTCCTCTATAGATCACCATTCAGAATACTATAAAGTTTTCTTTTTTTAGTTATGAAGGATGTTTTCTATTTTTAAAATTTTTATTGATACACTATAATTATTCATTAATAGTAGGACTTGATGCCATATATTTGCACATTATTTACATTCTATTGTATTTCTCCCCACCACTAAAATGTAAGCCCCATGAGAGATGATTTCATCCTGTATTTCCAACACCTAGAACAGTGGTAGGTATATAGTAGATAATTATTTGATGAACAAAGAAAGACTGAAGAAGTTGTTTTGTCAATGTGTCACAAAGGGCAAGAATCTAAATCTGTGTGTAAGTGGTTACTTTTCTAACAATGATGATGAACTGAAACTAAACATATAACCTTTAGTCAGCTAAAACAAAAAGCCAGTAGGCAGGTATGCAAGACATGGGTATTTCTGAATCAAGATGAAAAAACTATTTAGGATAGCCTGAAGATAAAGAGGGATCAGAGGCTGGGGTTGTAGCTCAGTGGTAGAGCACTTGCTTAGCATGTGTGAGGCACTGGGTTCTATTCTCAGACCACATACCAATAAATAAATAAAATTTAAAAATTCATCAACTAATAAAAATATTTTTTGGGGCTGGGGATGTGGCTCAAGCGGTAGCGCACTCGCCTGGCATGCGTGCAGCCCGGGTTCGATCCTCAGCACCACATACCAACAAAGATGTTGTGTCTGCTGGGAACTAAAAAGTAAATATTAAAAAATTCTCTCTCTTTCTCTCTCCTCTCTCACTCTCTCTTTAAAAAAAATTTTTTTTTAAAAAGAGGGATCAGGGTGACAAGATAAAATTCATTAGTACCAATTAAAACACAATTGTAACTGCCTATAATAAGTAAGGTTAATATTGATTGAAATGTTTTAAACAAATTAAAATGCTGTTACATGGCACAGAACTTTAAGAGTATTATATGTGTATTTTGAATCTTTATTAACAGTATTATATTTTTAAGAAAATACCCTGATATATAAGAAATAGAATTCTATGGAAGAACACAAAGCTGTATTCCCCTACCTAATATACCGCTTATAGCATGTGGTGTTTCATGTTTCTGAACTATTGGCAGAGAACCTACACATAAATAAAAAGAGAAGCTATCTTTAAAATACAAATAAATTATTTCTGGGTGAACGTTTAAAGTTTTTAAAAAATGAGCATCATTAATTCCACTAAACTTGTATACTTATGAATCGTTAAAGTGGCAAACTTTATATCACATATATTTTATCACAATTTAAAGGTTTTAAAAAATTGAGTAGAAAAGTGGAAATTGACAAAATATCCTAGAGATAGGTATGAAAATAAAAGACCAGAGTATCATGAAGTTCACTACTATGAAACAAACCACTTCTAAAAATTTTGGAAAATGATTCTTTCAAATTCCTTTCTTGAGTTTTTGTTTTTGGGTTTTAGGGAAAAAACCCTTCTTGTTTGGTTCAATTGCTTTCGGGGTTTTTCCCCTTTATGTTTATTAAGATCACAAAGCGGGCTTTTGCTAGGTTTTAAAGTTCAAGAAAGTAGCCTGGTGTAGTAATGCACCCCAGTAATCCCAGATACTTGGGAGGTTAAGGCAGAAAGATCACAAGTTCAAGGCCAGCCTTGACAACTCAGCAAGACCCAGTCTCATTGTAAAAAATAAAAAGGGCTGGGGATGTGGCTCAGTGGCAGAGTGCCTTTGAGTTTAATTCCCAATAATGCAGGAAAAATGTTCAAGAAATTACTTAATAAAATATAAACAGTGACCTTCTAAATATGCTGGGAGAAAAAGTGCAAGATGCATTCAATAGATAATGTTCTTGATCTGTAGGCCAAGCAATCAGGCTTCCATGTGAGAAGCAAAGCAATCTTTCTAGTTACTTATATGATACATTCTACAGTTTTATATGAAGTTATTTATTAGAAAACAATTCTCAAGGCCCTTTAACAATACAAATTTTATTAAAAAAATAAGTAACATCAAAACTGTTCAGCAAATCTATATTCAATGTAACCAAAATAAACAAACACCAAATTAAAAAAAATATACATCTATATATATATATATGGGCAAGAAACAAGTGCATTTTTTGGTCCCAATATTTTTGAATATATTATCTTTATCCAAAGGAATTACATTAATGGCTAAGAAGATATTATGTATTAGATAATCAGAAATGTAACTTTAAAATTTGTTTTAAGGTCTGAAAGAGGAGTTTTTGCCAATTCTTTATGTCTTTGAACTCACAATCCCCAAGATGTTAATGAAAGTCCCAAGATAGAGCATGTAATAATGTCTAATGAGCTGAACAAGTATCAAAATTAAGAAGCTACCAGTTGGTAGCCACATGAAATCTGTGGAGAATTATAAAGAAAATTATTGGAGTTCTTAACAAAAACAAAACAAACACAAAACAAAAGCTTTAAAGAGAAGAGTACAAAAATAGACATAACAAAACGGACATCAATAAACTTGATGAAGAACAACATAACACCAAGCTACTAAAATTTAATGAAAAAAATTAAATTAAAAAATCTATATATTAGTATTGCTGAAAACTCCTAGGATTAATACTGGATAAAACTTTAAATGACAATGTGAATAGTTGTTACTTTGGAACTGTAAATTTAAAGTTCACTTTTCCAAAAACATAAAAGTAATCTTGGTTCTCTATACAACAGAAATTTCATTTTCTTTAGACTGCATGCATGCTATAGGAAGATTAAAGGGCAGCAGCCAAAATGATTCAACTTCAACTTGGATGTTGAAGCACTGATTTGATGGGCTTTTCTTGGTTAGAATCAACCCATAAGCTTAAGATCAAGAATGAAAGCCCCCAGTGGGGAGTTGTGCTCAATTTGGTGGGCCTTGAGGTCATCTCTGGCCAAATCAGCATCAGCATTATGGGAGGCCAGTCAGGTAGGAAGGGACTCTCCCCAAGATCTGATTCCTTAAGGCCACAAACTAGAAGAAGTCTCACAGTCAAATAATTCACATTCCTTGGAAAGACAGAACAGGCATCAGTTGTGTCCGTCGAAGGGGGACACTGTCCAGGAGTACACTGGACATTTTTTGAAATTTCTGTGTTGCTTCTGCATCTGAAAAATAGGAAAAAAAATAGAACAATGACAGACAAAAGAATGAGGGAAAAAACATCTATCTGACCTAAAAATGTAAGACTTATAAGAAATTAAGAAAGCAGACAAAACAGACAAAAAAGATGAACAGCCATGTCATTTGGAATGTAATATTCAGAAGGCAAGTACAGGAGAAAAAAACACAAATTATTTTAAGCAAAGCAAGAAAAGATCATAACAACAAAAGTTATTTTTGGAGAAAGTCAACTAGAGGAAAAAAAAACACACGTTAGGACATGTTAACCTGACACAAAGATAAGGTGGAATAAGAATCTAGTGCCATCTGAAAGCTGAAAAGAGCTGAATGTCATGAACTTTGTTTAACCACCTTCATGTGAGAAAACACTTCAGAACTTTGAACTTAGGAAACTGCCTTTGTGTAAGAAAACACTTCAGAACTTTGAACTTAGGAAATTCCAACTTGTCTTGCACCAGGTTGCACGAGCTCCATAGAGCAGGAATCTATTTCAACAAGCCGCTTTAAAAACAAAAACAAAAACAAAATACTTTAATATTTTTCATTTCTATTAATTATACATTTCAAAATTGCAACAGTGCTAAAATCCATCAAAGTAAAATGCACTGAATTAAAATTAAACTTACTCAGAAGTGGGTTCAGAAGTTGAGGTACTTTCGGAAACTGTAACCAGAAGAAGAGTTTTACATTTAAAATAGCATATATGAAGAATAAATTAATTTGTAATACCTGAAAGCCCAAACTGTGGCTGATCAAAAGTACTAGATTAAATATTTAAAATTCAAAGTAACACTATTATATATACATACCATTCTCTATTACAACTTGGCAAGTATGAGTTTTACGTTGACTTAAGTGTTTAGCCATACGGTCTAAGCCAGAAGAATCAGTTAGGAAATCACACTTAAGGCACACAAGAGTAATGCCCCTATGGAAAAAAGAATTAGATGGTAAGAGAGACTCTTATCTTGTATAGAAATCAATACTCAAGTTCAATGATTACTGCTCATTTATTTTATGTACCAAGATTATCATTTTCAAATTTTGTAATATGAAATATACATTTGCCGAGGACTTCCTT